AAACCAATACACTATCAATACTTAAATGAATAATTTAACAATACCTTTTAGAAATTATGCAAGTTTACCTATATAGGATTGAACAAATATTTTTAATATGTTTTTTTCACTGAAATAATGCGTTATGTAACAATATGGGTTTATAGTAATCTAATTTAAATTTATAATCAATATATTTTAATATACTTATTCAAAATTAAATATTCTAGTTTGAACAAAACTGAGTAATGTAGTATTAAAAAAAAAATTGCGTGATTCACTTTTATGCTTTCAAAAAGTGGATATGTTTTTTACATTATTCATCAATTTAAAATCATATAAAATTATTGAATAAATTAAAAATGACTCAATAGTTTGATCGAAGTTTCAAATTAATTATGGAGTTGTCCTAAAGATAACTTCGGAAAATTTTGTCAAATTTTAAATTCCTTCTTTTTGTTATTATAAAAATGTTTTCTAATTTTTCTCAGGAAAATATTTTTTATTCAAAACTATTACAAAAATATTAAGGAACAGGAATATGAATGTGAACAAAAAAAAAAAAAAAAAGAATTGTTAAAAGTTGAGTTTTTAAATTACTTCAAATAAAACGTTAAAATTTTCTGAATTAAATAAAAAGAAATATACGCATGTTTTAAGTGATAAACATAGTATTTTGTTGCATTATTCAATTACAAACAATATTATTTTAAAAAAGACTTATTGGTGCAAAATTTTATTTAAAATAAAAATCTTTAGAATTTGGAAAAATATAATCAGCAGTTGGTGAATATCTTATAAATTTTTACTATTGAAAGCTTCAATTTTTAGAATTTTGAATACAGTATATCCTAAAGAGTAAAGAAAAACACGAAAATTTTGCGTCCTTTCTTATATATGAGCCGCTCAGAAGCCAATGCGGTTAAGTCCATTTTTTGATATTTTCTGATTTTTGGAAATTTTGATGAAATAAATAATAATCTTCTTAGTTATTAAAGGATTTACTCGTTATTTACTTTTTTCTAGGTTAGACAGCCCTTTTTTTATTAGCTTCTGAATATATTGTATAATAATTTCAGAAGCCATTGTGAATAAGTCCACCTTTTATCAACATTTTTTTACATAAGCTTTGAAATAAAAATTAAATTCTTCTTCTTCTTTCGATATTTGTTGGTAACACTGAAAAACAAGAAATTCATATCAGGGTTGCCAGACGTAGTATTTTAAATACTACGGTAGTACTTTTTCACCATAAAAAAGGGGTATGGTATTTTTCGTAGTATTTTTTTAAAATGTGGTATTTTTTTATTTATTTTATTTTCATTTCCTAAAACAAAGAAAAGTGCCACTCTAGTTTGGATGTAAAAAACAATTTTTGAAATAATCCAACAGTTTATTTTCTATTAGTCACTGTATCTAGTGATGATTGAGAAAAATAAAAGTTCGTTTATACTAGTAGACTAGTAGTAGACATAAATTTCTTATCTTTTTCTGCTGCCAAAAGGTATAAGTACTAAAATTTTTACGATGCTGTCATTATTTCAATAAATACTTACGTTTTTATTTACACATCCTGTACATATCTTGCTTTTTTGCAGAGTTTACACCTTGAAAAAAGACTTTATACACTTTTCTAATTAAATTAATAAACCAAGAATTTTAAAAACTAATGTATCAAAAAACATTAATTTTCTCAATTGTTGTGTTTTGGACTTAACCGCATTGGCCTCTGAGCGACTCATATATGTCTTGATTATTGTTGATTGTGTTACAAAAATATCATTTTTGCTTAATAAAAGAAGTTTAGTACTTTTTATAGGAAGAAAAAAAAAAGGGTAAAAAGTGTGATGGAAGAAAAGTGACTNAAAAAATGCGTGATTCACTTTTATGCTTTCAAAAAGTGGATATGTTTTTGACATTATTCATCAATTTAAAATCCTATAAAATTATTGAATAAATTAAAAATGACTCAATAGTTTTATCGAAATTTCAAATCATTTATGTAGTTGTCCTAAAGATAACTTTGGAGAATTTTGTCAAATTTTAAATTCCTTCTTTTTGTTATTATAAAAATTTTTTCTAATTTTTTTCAGGGAGATATTTTTTATTCAGAACTATTACAAAAATATTAAGGAACAGGAATATCAATGTGAACAAAAAAAAAAAAAAAATAAAGAATTGTTAAAAGTTGAGTTTTTAAATTACTTCAAATAAAACGTTAAAACTTTCTGAATTAAATTTTAAAAAATATACGCATGTTTAAAGTGATAAACATAGTATTTTGTTGCATAATTCAATTACAAACAATATTATTTTAAAAAAGACTTATTGGTGCAAAATTTTATTTAAAATAAAAATCTTTAGAATTTGGAAAAATATAATCAGCAGCTGGTGAATATCTTATAAATTTTTATTATTGAAAGCTTCAATTTTTAATTTTTAGAATTTTGAATACAGTGTATTCTAAACAGTAAAGAAAAACAAGAAAATTTTGCGTCCTTTCTTATATATATGTCTTGCTTATTGTTGATTGTGTTACAAAAATATGATTTTTGCTTACTAAAAGAAGTTTAGTACTTTTTATAGGAAGAAAAAGAAACGGGTAAAAAGTGTGATGGAAGAAAAGTGACTAATTTATTCCAGAAAAATATATTTACATTACTATCTTATCTCCCAAAATAAAAATACCATAAATAACCATACAACAAAAATAATGGCATAATAATATTTTTATTGAATCATAACTTTATTTTACGTGCATTCTGAAAAATTCGGATATTTAAATATTTTTTATGACCGTCGTTGAACAGTCGATCTAAATTTTGAGTTTACGGCTACTAATATTCAATTCCGCAGTCTTGTAATTTTGAACCTGAACCAGAAGGCAAGTGGACTCTTGGAGCAAATACTGGATGAAATTTGCCTTCGTGTAGGACTTTTTGATGAAACTAACTTGCATTTGTGTTACATGGGGAGGAAAACCACGAACACCTCGCATGGTTATACTGACGACAAGAGGACTCTAACCCATGATCTGTCTACCACTGAGGATATTTCACATCAGCATTGAGGTCGGTGCGAGCCGGGAGTAGAATTCGTTTCAACCAGACATCGCTCGGATTCGAGCCTGGTTAACCTCATTGGGAGAGGAGTGTGGTACCCCCTGAACCCCCACGGCTTTTATTTATTTATTTATTTATTTATTTATTTATTTTTAAATAAGGTGTCCGTTAAATTGCTTTTGAAATTTCATTTTAATTTGTTTGTTACAAAAATAACACAGTGCTCTTACTGACCCCAAACTTTTTTATAGCACTGATGTGAAAAGTGCTAAAAGTGTTATTCATTACTTTATTAATGCTTCATATTAATGAGGATTTTCAAATTTAAGCTATTACAAGTTTTGTTAAAAGAGCTTAAATTACAAGTTTTGTTAAAAGAGCTTAAATTGCAAGTTTTGTTAAAAGAGCTTAAATTACAAGTTTTGTTAAAAGAGCTTAAATTACAAGTTTTGTTAAAAGAGCTAAAGTTCTGTGATCACATATTTAAATTAGAAGCTTCAAGTATATCAGAATATCTATAGAGCAATACGTGTTTTGTTCACGTGTTTACTTATCTTTTATAATATTATTAAACAAAATTTCCTAAAATACATAAATGGTGATAATTAATGGTCATATTCTATTGATAATTAATTGTATTGATTTTAGTACAACAGATGTATTGATTTTAGAATAAGTGAAAGCTAGATTAAATGAAAATGAATTAATGATTCAATCTGAACAGTTATGTAAATATATTTAGAAGATTAAAATCTGAAGTAATGTAATGTAATTTAGTACAAGATTAAACTGTAAATATATTTATATATCATCTATTAATTTGATAAGTAAGTAAAATTGCGAGGAAATTTTAAATAAAATGAATATATGTTAGATTTAAACAAAACATTAACAAAATATAACTTTATGCAAAACCTATTGAATATTTAGCATTTTTCAATAATAGAGAATTCTTGCATTTAATGACTCAGAATTTCAGAGCCGAAAATCTGTAGTTTTAGATCTTTATATGATGATAACATATTTCGACTCGTTATTTTCTTAAAACAAAGAACTATAGTGCGGCCTGAAAATATTTCAGAGTGGAGTAAAAAAAAAAGAGAAAGTACTTAGATCAGTTTTAATTCTTTGTGACAGTTTCAAAACTATATTTCAAATAAAACTAATTTTGACTAGTTATAAATCTTCACCAGACATTAATTAGCTATAAATGCTTGTATCATGATAAAACATTCATATTTTACTTAAAATAATGTTTATTTTTGTTATTTTTCTTCAAAAAAAAAGCAAAAAAACAAAAACAAAAAAAAAACGCGCGTATACATGGAAATACATCAGAGTAGAATAAAAAAAAAATGAAACAACATAGAAAAGTTTGAAATCTCCGTGACAATTTCACGTGAAACTAATTCTGCCCATTTTAAAATTTCTTTTAATCATCTATAATAATTATTCATCCTCTGAATAACTTTTTGAAGAGTAATTTTCAAAACCTATCAAACCATATCTTGTTCATTGTAAATGTACATTGTATAAATTTCCTAATCAAATAATTGAAAAACACCGGCACACTGGGTGCATCATTTGTAAAATCAATTTACTGTAAAATCCACTTTTACCGTAAAATATTAGGCCATAATAATTACAGTAATAACTATTTAATTGCAATAATATTTACAAATAATTATAAGAAGGAAATATACATTTAAAGTAAAATAAAAAAAAAACAAATAAAATATTTCCATTTAAGATCTCCAAAATGCGCAGAAATTAAATAATAAGATTTAAATATAGAAATAATGATATTATATATTGGATTGATACAATGTTGGTGTATAAATAAAATACATATGTTGTATAACTTTAACATAAACCACTTTCCCCAATCTGGTAAACATAATATATGATAATTGCACGTGCAGTACTATAGAGTAATACTCTTTTTCCTTGCTGCCTTAGCCAATCAGGAGTTGGCTGGCACCCTTTGTACTGGACATTTAGCTACAAGCACAGCATCTTCTTAAAAGAAGGAAACGCAAATTTTTTGAAGGGCACAAATGGCAAAAAACGGTTTCTCTGCAATAGAGGCCTTCGGCCTTGATGATAATCTTCATCCACCTTGACCTCAACTGCCTTCACTTGTTTTGCATTCAGTAAAGGTAAGTTATTGTCAATTTTAAGACAAGCTAGGATGAAAAATGTAATATTTATGTAGAAAAGTTATTTATTAATGTTTTTTTTAGATAATTTACATGTCTTTAGACAATTCTAATAGTTCAAATTTATAATTCTATCCTGCATTGAAATTACAAATTAATTTAATTGAATTGAAGTAATTAACGGACATTATTTTTTAACATACATTTTCAGTGTAATATAATACAAAGTTAGAAAAAATGTTTTTTTTACAAAATGCTAGTTCACAATAAGAAAAATATTTAGAACAATCTGCATTTGCACGTTTCACACTTTTGCATTAAGTTACATTTTTGAATGGTTCAGTTACTATAGACTACTTTTTTCTCATTTAAAAACTTAACTAAAACACTAATTAATAATACAAAAAATTCATTTTTAAAATTTTCATTCAATATTTAATTTTTTTATTGCTGATTTTTATTAAAATATTCATTTTCTTGTTCATATTTCAAGCTTCTGTCCAAGAACTAATATTAACCTTATATTACAGAAAATAATTTTTTTCAATGAAAAGCTAAATTTGAAACAGTAATTATATTATATTACTTATAATAGATCATATTATATTACTTAATTAAATTAAATTTCATATTTATTTTAATTTCATTTTAAGTAATATTATTATATTCGATAATACTGTTGACATAGTCCTTACAGCATAAAACAGTTATGTGTTTGAGTCTCATTAGAAAAAGTAACATATGTATTTAATTGCATTAATATATATATATTATATATGTTACATGTGTTTGAGACTAGTTAGAAAATGTAGCATATATATTGAATTGAACTAGAAATGCGAGCTTTATCCAAATATTAAGTCAATGAAATAAATTAATCACAAAACATTATTACAAATTGCAAAGATCAAAACAAATTATTTTATGATTTTTGTTTATTACAAAAATTTATGTCTAATAGAATTTAAAGTGAGCATCAATTGAAAAAGCGTTCGTCATTTATGCATATTTTGTAAGATAAAAATGTGTCTGTGATTTATTTTGTTAAAAACTTTTAATTTTAAATTTTATTATTCCTTTTTCAATATATTTAAAATTCCATTATATTATTATATTTCATAAATTAATGCAGTTTCAAGAAATTAAAAAATTATTTTTTAAGCAGAATACAGTAAGATTTTTATCTCTATTAAAAACTTGTGTGGAAATATTTTAAATGTTATCGTGTTAAAGAATTTAATATTTTCATAAAAATGAAATTTTACTTAATAATTTTATGTAATGAGAGTTTATGAAATATTCATTTACTGTATATTTGGTAAAATTAAAGGAGAGGCATTGTTTTTTTAAAAATATAATAATTACAAAACATTAATCTAAACCAAAACGTAGTTCTTTTCTAATTAAACATTTAATGCATTAAAAGACTCATGGTATAAGAATTAATAAAATCACTTCAGTAATTCACTTCAATAATCAATGTATATTCTTTTACGTGTTATTTAGATATTTTATAATTTGTATAGAATATGTTGGTTTGTAAATTATTTTTAAAACAAAAAAACTATATATCTATACCATGATTAAAATACGAGAGCATAATGTGGTATTACTTTTTTGACTTTTCATAGGTATATTCAAATACATTTGCATCATACATAGTGACAACTAAATGTGTAAAAAATACATTTTGGAGAATAATCAATTGTAAGTACGATAACTGCTTAAAATTTTGTTGAAAAGTTACTGAGTTAATTGTCTTTCTGTATATTCCAAGGGACAAACACAATAAATCTTTCAACTTCCATATGATTTTACCAAACATTGAACAGCAAACTTATAATGATTAAAGTTTCCATTGCATGTACATTTTTCCTTTTTAGGATTGTGTTTAATTCTGTTGAGAAAATGGTTTAAGAATGAAAATAATTTAAGCATTTTTGTTTTTGTCCTATAGCTCTTAAAAATAACGAAAAATATACATACAACAGAACTAAATTCGCAAAATAGATACTGTTTTGAGTCAAATTGGTTCCAAAATGAGGAAGTTCTCGTGTATTGGAGAATATTTTGAGAAAACATCATTTAAAATTAGGGAAAGCGTATTTTAAATATCTGCGTGTTAAAGCAAAACGCACTGTTTCTTTTTCAATGAAACATAACTATGTTCTCAAATGACTGCTTTAAACATTTTTACCTATTCCAGTTTCAAACTTCAGTAACAATGAAACTGCAAAAGATGTTCTCATGTACCCATTCTGTTATTTTATAAAAATAAAAAATAAATCGAATTTTAAATATTGGTTCATAAAAAATGGTGAACTAACACTGATTAATATGTAGGTATCTGCAAAACAATAATAAAAGTAAATTCATAAAAATAAATAAATAACTTCATAAAAAATAATTGATTTCGAGTAGTTATATGAATAATTATACTAAGTGAAAGAAAAAGAGTAAAAAAAAGGAAATAAAAGATTTTTTATTTTGTGAGATTGTTGATTGTCAAAAAATAGGTTTGAAAAATAATTTATTAGGGAATTTGAGACCCATTGTAATGCAGTGTTAGATGAAAAATTTCATGCTGCAATTATTTGGAAATATAGCTGCAAATAATTTATGGTACTTCTATTATCACTTTTACACCTATTTAAATATACTTTAAAACAGCTCATTTGTCCCCATAGATAATATTAAAAGTAATTATTGTGTAAAGTGTTTAAATTATTTTCCAAAAAGATGCCAATTGTGACCGAAAGCTTAGATCAAACATTGACGAGTCGAAGCCTTCCAATGTTTTGTTAAATATGATATAAATTTAAGGCAAATATTACACTTTTCAAAATTTAACTATGAACCAATAAAAAAAATTTAAATAGTTGAATAAATTCCTCTTTATAATACTAAACTATCATAGTATCTTAATGTTAGTTTTGAAATAGTCATCAAACAAATCATTAAATATTTTCGACTCTTTAGTAAACTTATAAGTGAATAAGAAAGAAAACAATTTCTAAAATAATTGTTCTAAGCTTCTTATGGAAAGCCGATTTCTGTGCAACCTAACACATTGTTTAAATTCTTTAAAACTACGCGTTTATTGAACAACTACGAAAGAGAAAACAATGACCGGAGATGTTTGCGGCATTCTTCGACTAAGAATACGGGGAAATGTTTTCGAAACTAGATTCATTTTGATACGACGATGTTGCGCTCATTAACGTCTACATTTTTACACTGAAGTAGTGTAAAAAATATTCTTATTTAAAAGGCCGTTGAACGTTAATATATAAGCTAATGAAATATTCCAGTGTGTGAGTTACTATTTTAGGTTCTCTGGGGTTACTGATCCACTAGTTACCTTGTGCTCTGGATTGGTCCAAAATTACAAGGCTACGGAGTTGAACATTAGCAGTCGTAAACTTGAAATTGGGTCGGCTGTTCAACGACGGTTGTAAAATAAAAAAAGAATTGTTATACTATGCCAATAATGAATTTATGTTATTATTGGCATTTTAGTTTTATTCTATAACCCGCGTTCAAAAGCAGACTCAATTCTAAGTTTACAACTATAAATGTTCAACTCCGTAGCCTTATAATTTTGAACCTAATCCAGAAGAGAACTACAAAATCAAGCATTGGGAGAAAGCTTCATGGAGGGCTACTAACCCGCATTTGCGTTACACAAAGAGGAAAACAGCGAAAACGTCCCACGATTAGCCTTACGTCAAAGGCATTCTAACCCATGATTCGAGCCGGTGCAAACCGAGAGCAGAATTCGTACCAACCAGCCACGCTGTGATTTGAACTCGGGTACCCTCATTGGGAGGCTAACGCTCAATCTTCTGAGAATAATGGCCTGAACTTAGAGAATGATACTGAGCACTCACGGGTTCAAACATTGTTTTGTTCAATAGACTAGTCAAAGCGGGCTTACATTTAATTAAAACCTTAGTGTGAGAAAATGATATGCTACAAAAAGAAACAAAAATTTTAAATAAAAGAAAAAAAAGTCCTAGCTTATTTTCATCATTTGTAGTGAATAGATATTCATTTTAGCTATCCGTTAAATATAAAATTCATACCGAGCGAGCACGAAAATCATATTATGCAATTTTTTTAATCTAATTATTAATGGTATTAATTTCTCCAAGAACGGAAAAAACTTTTTCAATACTTTTAATTTTTTTATCCTACAAAAGTACTTTTAAAATGCGGTTCATCGCAACCTCAAAGCATAACTTTCAGTTAGAAATGCTGAATATAAAATTTTTCTTTCTAATGAGACTACAAAAAATAAGTTCTTTCAACATTACTTCTTAGAAATATGGAATTATGGAAAGATAGAATTATTGAAATTCTCGGCAAATGAGGGAGTATATTTGTAATGATTTTAATGTTTTGTCAACTTATTAACACATGTACACACGAAAAATATTACATGTTTGTAGATTTGAAAGTTGAACTATATTTTAATAAAAAGTTTTATTTATTTCCCTAACTTTTGTTTTATTTATTTGCGGCATATAGCTTTATTTTGAATAAATCACAATCGGTAGGAAGATATTGATTGTTAAAGTACTTTTATGTGTTATCTAATTTGTTTTGAAAAATATATATATGAAGATATATATGGTAAAAAGATTTATATATATGGTAATATATATGGTAAAAAGGTTTAAGGCAATATTTCCCGAAGTGTGGCACGCGTACCCCCAGGGATGCGGGAATAGTTTAGAGGGGGTACGTGTTCTTACGCGAAATATCTTGCAATAAATGAAAATTGCAAAAAAAATTATTTAAAAATAAAGCTAGCCATGAAAGTTTACGATTACGCATTTTTCTATTGGCTATTTTTGGAGAGTTAACAGTTAATAATTAGTGGTGTCAGCATCCAGTTGTGATTTTTAACTTTTGTTAATTTTTTTTTATCACAGCAAAACAATATCATCCTTCTCACTAATGCAAATAAACTTAGTAACAAAACTTTGTACCAAAAA